CGTGCTCGTTGGGAACTCCATCGCCATCCACATCACCGTCGTGCTCATTCAGGATGCCATCCCCATCGAGATCGTCGTCCTTCTCGTTTGGCACACCATCACCATCCAGATCTTCATCCTCTGAAGGGGTTTAGGAAAATTAATAAACTGCAGTATAAGTTATTGTATGAGCAACATACTGGAGTTGTTGGTGCCATCGCCATCCAAATCGTCATCCTTTTCGTTCTTCACGCCATCTCCATCGATATCTTCATCCTCTGAAAAGGAAATATGGAAAATAAATTAAAATATAATAGAATTAAAAAGAATTTAGCTATAATATTTTTACCATGGTTAGCTTTGCCATCACCATCCAGATCTTCATCGTCTTCATTGTTCACTCCATCACCATCAAGATCTTCATCCTCTGTTATTCAAAATATATAAATTAATATATTTAATTTGATGAATATATATTTTGTTAACCCACCATGATTGATTTTTCCATCTCCATCTAGATCATCGTCTTCCTCATTGGGCACACCGTCTCCATCAAGATCTTCGTCCTCTGAAATATTGAAAAACTATTTAGAAGCTGGACAAATCTCTGAGTCAAATCATAAAGAAGCTAGATTGCTGAAATTAAAATAAGGTAAGAGCGCAACGTTGCAACTATCTGAAAATCAAAAAAAGCTTTTAAATAAAGTACTATTATAGCCTAAAAACGAAATATACAAATAAAAGCTTTAAAAATATGCAAATTTTGTATCGAAAGCAAAAAAGAATGTATAGTTTATGGTCATACCATGATTTGGAGTGCCATCGCCATCTAGATCATCATCCTCTGCGGGTTGAAATCATAATTTTAAGTTTTATCAGTTAACTTTCGAGTATTAGCCAACTTACCGTGATTCGCCTTGCCATCGCCATCGATGTCTTCATCTCTGGAGTTGGGCACACCATCCCCATCGATGTCCTCGTCCTTGGAGTTGGGCACACCATCCCCATCGATATCATCGTCCTTTTCATTCGGGATGCCATCGCCATCAATGTCCTCATCCTCGTCGTTTGGTATGCCATCTCCATCGATATCATCGTCCTTGTCGTTCGGTATGCCATCCCCATCGATATCATCGTCCTCGTCATCGGGGATGCCATCTCCATCCAAATCGTTGGCACTTTTCGCGTCTTCTGTGGAATCCAATTCGACAGTTTCAATTTCAATCGTGTCTTTCTCAACCGCGGATAGCCCACCATCATCGTCATCATCGTCGTCGTCCCCACGTGGCTGATCGGATTGCAGTTCTCCAGATCCATCTTTGACACCATCTGCAAATATACATATAACAGAATGAATTATCTGCTAAATAGCTCATAAATATTGTATTACTCATACTAAAAGATTTGTTTATTTTCGCACTTTGGTATGATATCATTGTGATAGGTAGATATATCTTAATAGACCATTTAACAAAATTTATTATCTTGTATTTCACAAAAATGTGAAGAACCGGTTGGTTTAATAATCGTTTTAAAAAAAAGTGAGGGAAATTCATTTAATTGGCTTACAATTTAAATGTCGTTATTTAATTTCATCATAAGGATTTTTACAGCAATTTAATTTGTAAATCTGTCTTGTTCTAATTCTTTTATTATTTATAACTATTCCTTACCTGTTTTCAATTCATGTATGGCCTTTTCAATGTAGGGTCGACATTCTGATTCGCTTGGTCCGACATCGGCATTGACAAACCCAACTGAAAATCGTCGAAAAAAACATGACAGGTCAATTTGTAATCCGAGTATGGCGAGTATAGACCAGAGATCAGGAAGCCCTAGGAAGGGCCCTAAGCTATTTTCATCTCGTCATCCTAAGAACCAAGAACAATGGCCCCACTTTCTCGGTTTGATGTCAGCGCCAACCGCGAGGTCATTCAATCTGTTCAAACTTGACATTATTTATGGTACTCGCCGTGCACAAACATACACACTTCGAAATATATGCGGCGGATTTATGAATTTTATTTTTAAAAGATGAGAACTCAAACACATTTCGCCAGCTTGCGGATGAGTAAATTTCGGTACCATTCTGTTGGCCGCTCGCCCACTTTGGCCTTACTTCTTTATTTTTGTTTCTCTTGGCCACCTTACTGCTCCGAAAATCCGGATGCGGGGGTGTACCATTTGCAATGGAATATTCTATATCTTCAGAACTTGCTTTTCGGTAATGGAAGGTCGACTTTTTGAGTGACTAGTGGGCTGGAGGTCGCTCTGCTAATTACTTTCGTATTTTCAAATAATTAGAACAAATGCCTGCCCGAGATCAACAGACTATCCAAAATATATATTGGGGTCCAATTAAGCGGGATTTAAATGGGTTTGCCTATCAGTTTTCAGTGTGCAGTTTGCCTGTCGGCAGATAATTCATTTCATTTATTTCAGGGCGTATGTGGGCAGGAAGCTATTTGAGCAATTTCGCATTTCATTGCTAACCGCATTGATAGAATTATTTATACAAATTTCGCCGACCGACCGACCGCCTGCCTGCATATTGTGTTTATGTTGCTGCAATCGAGCCCATCTCAGCCCATAATATATAGTACACGGCATTTGCGCCATTTCTCATTTTTTTTTTTAGTATTTTTTCAATATTTTTTGGCTGTTTTGCAAACTTGAGCAAACCAAACAAAATAGACAGAGACATTTCGCATACATATGTAGATGGAAAGCGCTCGCTGAGCGCAAATCAAATAACTTAAAATTGTCTAAATTTAAAAATATTACAAGCGATGACAACGAAGAGCAACCAAGCGGCGCAAAAATCTCAAAAGTTCTCGCGAGATGAAAAAAGTCGGCAAAAATTATATCTGTATCTGTGTATCTGCCACTAGTGGTTGGCCAAGTCAAGTGTACGGGGCTATACCAATATACTAATGCCCAAAGTGTCGTCCACTGACGTTTGCAGACACCAATACCGAACCAAAAAAAAAATAAAAAGAAAAAAATATAGAGAACGCACAAACTCAGGCAAATATTTTTAAACGTATATTAATACATATTTCTTTTTTTCGGACGTTTTCCTTCTGTTTTTCTTGGCTTTTTGTTATAAAATTGCATAATGCCTGCCCAGGCTGCGTGAAAAACTGTCAAGATATTCGAAAGTGCCCTCTCGCCCTTTTTTTTGCCTTATATAATCTCTCTATATACATATGGGAACCGAAGGATACTCACCATTATTGGAGACGGCGATTAACGTTAGTCCCAGCAGGAACCAAATGGTTAGCCGCCCCATAATAATCAAAACAACAAATTATCCTCGAGTTTCCAGCGTGGTTAGCACTTTAGCCACGTCATAAATTCTCCTTGCAAGTTTTCCGTAATTATGAATAATTAGGGAAAATTAGAATTAACACTTTTTCTCGTATTCTGCATATATATGCATCCGCTATATATGCGCTCGTTTAAATGCACTAAATGAAAAGAGTGAAGAATTCGAAAACCAACGATTATTTAAGGCCAGAGAGCTGGATAGATTTTTTTATAGAATGTATAGGATGTATAGTGTGTAGATTGGAAGTCTGGTATGTTTATATATAGAGGTATCTGTATAGATGTTCAATTAGGATCGCACAAATTTTGTCACAGTTTCAGTGGGTTTCCAATTTTGCACTTGTTCGTTATTTCATTCACTTTGCAGATCGATTTATTAATATTATTAATTATAAATATATATTTTAGTTATTGATTTTAGGTTTTTAGGTTTTTCGCGCTGCCGTTAGCAAATTTAACCAACAATCGTCAGCTGGGTAATCCTTAGTGTCCCTTTCGACGATTGTTAGCTAAATAATTTGCTTATTTCTGGCCGTCGTGGTCGTCTTCGTTTTGGTCGTCTGTGCACGTCGTGTGCGTGTCGTTTTTTGAACAGGGCAGCTCGAATTTTCCCAACACCTATCACATCTATTTTCTATCTGGTATCTGGTAAGAAAATTCAGTGTGCCGTACACGAGTATACGAGACGATCTCTCCCGGTCCAAAACCAATTCGTAACTCAACATGCATATACCATGAATTTACCTTGTGACCGCGAAAATTATTCGATTTTGATATTTTCGTAGCACGAATTTTTGTCAAAAGCACACACAGTTGAGTGAGTGAGTGGGTTTTCCTTCTCGCCTAATGCTCTTTCTATGTTTTCCGTTTCCATTTTCTTTTTTCTTTCAATATTAATTCTATTTCCTCTCGCCGGGTGGCGCTCTCTGCTGGGATTTTGGGAACATCCCGGCGAATTCTTGGGATAAGCCTATGGGAAATTAATAGCCTTCGCGGGTTGGAAGTATTTTCAAAATTATTTTAATATATTTTTTCTCTACTTGTGGGCTCTTTTGTGATTGATTAGATATTTCCTTTGCACTAGTTCACTTTCTCTCTCAGCACTTTCGTTTTGGAGGAATGTTTAATTATAGACAATGCGGTGCTCATTCCGCATATTATTACTCAGAGCATCTTTTGAGCCAAAAAGAATATTTCGAAATCAAGATTTTGGCCTCTTTGCGATTTGTTTCGTGTCACAAATGCTTAGGTTCCATTTCCCTCAAGCTCTCCGCGTATGAAATGAGATTATGAAAATCAAATGTTAGGGTCTAAAATGATACATACATCTCGCTGTAGCATTTATCATTGCTCGTTTATATGGTTGATTGCACGAACAGCTGTTCGCTGGTTGTGTTCCAAGGCTACCATCCTCGTTGCACCCCATCTCACCCCATCTCGGATCGCCGCGGACAAGTGAAAATGTGTCCCAAGTCATTGCGTTTATTAGCTTAATTAGAATTGGCTAGTTCTCATCCAAATAAAATTGTGCAGGGCAGGGAGCATTACGTATACGTAATCCGCTGATCATCGAGCATGCCTTATGTAAGACACGTTCTGCCCCATCACGTATTGTTTTATTCTAGAAACGATTGCTCACACCTCCATTGAACGGCCCATTTAGTTCTTGCTTTATTCGATTTTAAAATCAAATTTATTTTTATTGTTTTCGTCTCGTCTGGTTATCTATTTTATAACCCCAAGATGCTATTAAATTAAAATACTTAAATATCTATTTCTAAGTGTACATGAAGATTTTTCGTTTTTAAATAATTTAGATATGTATATTTTGGGACAGTTAGTGGGTCTCGTTGCCCTCCTTCTTCTGCTTCAGACGAGTGCAGTAGTACCGATCGCTATTCTCGATCCAATCGCAGACATTCAGGACAGTGTGGAAAGCTGTTCCCTCTTTGCATTCGAATTCCACGGGTTTACCATGGACACATCGGAAGTACTGGTGGAGAAAAGGGGGTTATTAGTAATATGACAGAATATATTGAAAATCTGGAACATTCTTAAGTGGTAACGGGATATAATAAGTCTAGATATATTCCACCACCGATCAATTCAAAAATTATGCCATAAAGTATGCAATAATTTTTTGTGAAGGTAGTCAGAAAGAACATAAGCCTTATAAGGATTATAATAAATTCTTCATAGATTTATAAGGAAGAACCTTTTTAAAGAGAAGTTATTTCACACTTACCTTTCGGCAGTTGGGATGTGGAACAAAGTCGCGGTTGGTACAATCGATTTCGTTGGGATCAAACTGGGAACCCATAGCCTGTTCGGGTTCTTCAGGATCAACAACTTCTTCGGGCTCCTCAGTGTTCTTTTCCGGAGCGGCAGTGGTTGTCGTTGTGGTGGTGGTTGGCTTCTTCGGCTTTTTGGGTTTCTGGTAGGTAAATAATAAAGATATTTTAGCAAATCTATATTTATATAATTTTATTTATAACAATTTTCAATAGTTTTTACCTTTGTGGTTGGTTTTGGGGTGGTACTAGTAACAGTTGGCACTGGAGCAGATGTAGGGCTTAAGGCAATTGAAGTTGGCTTGGGCTTGGGCTTTGGCCTCTTAGTAGTAGCCATCGTTGGTTTTGGTTGGGTTTGCACCACAGTGCCCTCATCCGGATTTGGAGGAGTTGCTGGAGGCTTGGCCCACTCAGGCTTAAAAGAAGAGAAACTCATGATACAACCATTTCCTAATTTAGGAACCCCAACTTACCCTTGGAGTAGTTTCCCTTGTTGGTTCCGGAACCCGATAGTTTATCATGTTGTCGTAGAGGATCTGCATCAATCCGTTCTTCTTGCCGCACATTCCATGGAAGTCATCCATGTCGATGGCCCAGGTCATGGCGCCGGCGTAGCCCTTCTGCTTGATGAAGTCCATCTTGATCTGGACGGAGGCCTCGTTCTCGTAGCCCACCCACTGGGTGTCCTTGTAGGTGTAGGGCACCATTCCGGCGTCATCCCACTCCACGGTCCATCCCTTGGACTTGTCCATCACCTCGGTGCAGATTTCGTAGTAGGCCAAGAAGCCACTGGCATTGGTGTAGGGACCCGGTGCACCGCCACCCGCCTCCTTGTTGATGTAGGTGCCCATGTTGTAGTTCTTGTTCGAGCTGCTCAGCGTGAAAGTCCGGCCGTAGAAGGGGATGCCCACCACCAGCTTGTTGGCCGGACAGCCCATCTCCTCCCACAAGGCGAGGCCGTCGTTCTTGAATGGCGACGCTAATTAGTTTGGCACCAGCATCAGCAATCCCCCCCTGCTCTTTCCCACTTTGCCCATTATGTCTTTTTATATATATCACTTACCACATTCAGGCGTTCGTAGGCGTATTGGTCGTGTTTTCGCTTGTAGAGTGGACTGTGCACGTCGGCGAATCCGGCCCAATTGCCCCGTAGGTCATAGGTCATGGCGTGAATGGCATCCAGCTCTCTGCAAAGGTAGGCAATAATGAGAGCGTGAATGAAAGTTTCTGAAAAACGACAGCTCTTTTGCAAGGGAGTTAAACTTTAATTTGTATTAAAATAGTTTCTGTGGTAAATATTACCTCTAAGGAATTTGAATTTACGATTTACAAAATTGTAAAAATAGTTCTGGTCAATACCATAGAAATATTTTAATTTAACAAGTAAACATTGATATAAAAAAATACCTAAATGCATACCTAGGCTTTTAAGTATTATACAATTCTAAAATTTAGAACGAAATTTTTATACCTACTAAAAATATATTTTTTGAGTGTTTAAGAACCTTGAGCCGATAATACTTTTTTAATCATTAATTTGTATAAAATCATAAAAATGCATTCAACTTACGCGCACAATTCCGGAACATGGTATCCCTCCTGCAGTCGGAACTTGGCCACCGGAACCGCCATGGTGATTTCCCATCCCAAACCCTCGCGATCGAAGGCGCGTCGCAGCTCCTGAACAAAATACAGGAACTTGTCCTTGTCACTGAAGGAGCCACCGCGATCTGTGGCCCCAGGATATTCCCAGTCCAGGTCGAAACCATCGAAATTGTACTGCTTCATAAAGCGTACCACACTGCGGATGAAACTCTGTCGCCGCTCTCGAACTGCCACCATTTGTGAGTACTTGGAGCCACCTTCGGCCCAGCCACCCACTGCAATCTCCAACTTTACATCGGGATTGATCTTCTTCAACTTTGTGAACCTGCTGAAGCCCCTTTGATCGACATCCAATTCCGGATCGATCACCAGGACATCCCAGCTCTTGTCGTTAACACCGATGAAGGAGTAGATGATATGGGTGCACATACCGGCGGGCACATCCTCCAATCCATATCGACCAATACCAGGGCGATATACCGCCCAATTGCTGAAGTAGCAGACGATTCGAGAAGGCTGATCACTGGCCAAAGTTGCAGCTGGCCAGGAAGAGAGCACTCCGAGGAGCAGGAGCGCCAAATGATGCACTAAGATCAGAATAAACAGTGTTTAAAATAATATGATGTCGATATGATCTTAACACATAATCCTCAGAAATTCCTGGTAAGTCCACACCTTAAAAATTAAACTTTGTTTATTTTTAAGCACACCATTATGTTATTTTGAAATACTGAGGCTCCCGACTGTTTTGCTTTTTCCCAGTCAAAGAATCGTAAAAGCCTCTCCCGTTCCCAGTTAAGACTTGTTTTTCGAGATCAACGTGAGCTGCATTTTTAATTGAATGTAGTTCGAGTCTCTTATCGTCCCACTGCGAGGGTTCGAATTTATGGAACAGCTAAGGTTATGTGTCCATAATGCTGCACGCCTCAAGTTCATTCACCGATTTGCACTTTGTATGCACGGTCAGGCTTACCCATTTCTTAATGCTCCTCCACGAAGCGACGATAACCAAAGAATTGATTTGAATATATGTGTAAACCGAAATCGGGGGAATCTCGAATCTCGAGTTCTGCGTGCGACGCTCGTTTGGCGTCAAATGACAGTCAAGCTCGCGATCAGCTCGACTTTTATAGTGGGAGGCGGTTGTCTCGAAACACTCTTTTTTGCAGTCCGGTTCTTGGATTGCGTCTTTGTTCCTGCGTAGAGTGCGTGAGAGGTGTGCGATTCTCCGAAGAATCGCAACTTTACGGGAATGGTCGCGGGGCGTGGAAGGGGCTTTTGTTTTGCCTCTGCTGACTGACTGTGCTCATTTCCAGATCGGTTTAGCTCTTTGTGTTGTCTTACCACTTTCTTTCCGATTGTTTTGCATTCGCATTTTATCTTACTGTCACCCCCTGCGTGTTGTTTATGCTCTAGAATTACCATATATATGTCAGACAGGGCCCTAAAAAGATCCCTGCGAGTGGCCTGGATAATGTTACGCTGTGCGCATCCAGGCTTCGCTGGCCGATTATAATGGTAATGGATAGATAACTTGTGGTTTTGGTAGCAACTTTAATGTCACGGGATATAAAATAGAGTCGAGGCTTAGGTCTAGGTCTCGGAGCCAATGCGTATGTCGATGGCCAGGGGAGCTTCTTCGGTGCTGGAAGAGATGGGTGCTGAAGTGGTGGATGTGGTGCTGGTGGTGGAGGTGCTGGTGCTAGTGGTTGAGGATGGAGTAATCGGAGCCGCAGGTGGTGGAGCTACACTGCTTGAGCTGGGCTGTCTGGGAGCCACTTGAGATCCTCCTTTGTCATCTGAAATAAATGAGTGCACTGATTATATCTTGCATTTTAAAGGTTTTAATAAATATAAGAATGGAATAGAATGGACTTCTAAAATATAAGTGGCTCTGATATAAAGATTTCAGTCTATGTTAAATCGCCGTATGAAGTAATATATTTATTCAAAATAGTAATAATGGGACATCTAGAATATTCGACTGAACAAAGCAAAGATATTTTATCCATTTTTTCCTGCATTACGCATTAAGTGTCTTAATAGGGTTTCTTTGTGACTGACTGTTTGCGTAAATACAAATTAAATGTGTAAATTAACGACAGATAAATGTTTATCCAAAAACCCACACAAGTAAACTTGGTTTCTATAAGATAGCTTTACAATAAAATGAAGAACAAACAAGAAAAAGTATTTAGTCGACACCTCACACAATGATAAGAATTTCTTAGAGGTCCTGTTTAAAATACATTGTAAGAGTCGTGTATATCTATATATGCACTGTATGGTAACTTTCTTAGCAATACTTTAATTTGGCTAAGATTATAGTAAATATGTAGGTATATATTTACCATACTAACATCCAAGAAATTTGATGAAGTATGAACGATTAAACTAATATGGCTCCTAAGAAAGTGAAATATATAAGATGAAACACGCTTCCATCCCTCTTACTCATCCTTATAATGACTTTAAGCTTAAAGTTTTGGTTCTAACGAATGCTTTTAATTTCTTTAAGGAGATTATTAGAGTAAACTATGCTCACCCTTGAATGGCTCCAATTCGGCCTTAAAAGGTCGCTGGTGCTCTTCGTAATCCGGGGCTCCAAAGGCGTTAGGAAAGGGCTCGAAGCCATGTGGCTCGAATCCGAATCTGTGGGGTGGCGGCGGTCCATGTGGGGGATGGTCAAATCCAAATCCAAATCCGCCCGGGTGATGGCAGTCGGGAGCCGGGAAGTGGTGATCCCAGTGCCGCTTTTGATGGTGATGCCCGTGGTAATTGCCGTCCCCATGATGGCGACGATGCCGATTGTGCTGGACGTGGACCTGGCTAAAAACGGGTGCCGATTCCTCGGCCAATAAATCTTGGCTGGCGAAGGCACTGAAAGAGGGAGCAGGGCAACAAAAAAACAACCAGGTGAAGTGCAGAAAATACGGAGCTAAGAGATACGGATACTGACGCATTCTCGATTCCTGGGAACGGAGCAGCCTGAAGCTGCAGACTCTGCGAGCTTATCACTGCGAACAGCGCCAGCTGTGTGAAATATATGGGATTGAAATGGGGTTGGATTGGGTTGGTTTTGCATTTGGATTGGTCTGGAGGATTTACGAGCTCTGGACTTACACGGACGGGAACTGAGGCTAACATGCTGTTGGTATGGTATGCCGATTCCTTTGGACTGCTCCAGTTTAACAGTTTATCTTCCTTGAACGTTTCGCTTGAACCGCGCTCTTTAGCCGCACAGAATCGACTAAATCTTGCCGTACGACTCACTTTATTCCGCACAATTAATACTTGGACAATGTCGCATGTCGGGGTTTTTATTTTTTATCTGCTGCTCCCTTACTCACTCAGATTTTGAGTTGTTTTTGTGCGCATCATAAACCTGATCGGTCAATGATAATTCAGGTTTTTTATATCCAATACCCATTTACATACGCGACTACAGTCGTTCATAAGTCGCTGGTCTTTTGAGCGTTTTGTAATTAGCCGGGCCTGCAATGGGCCGATTTTTGTCCGGAATAGCCGCAAACGTACATTAATTGCCAATAAATGTGACAAAGTGTTGCTAATTTTGCGGTCGCTGAATTGAAGCCGATTGAGAGGGGTTGCGATGCAGGGCGAAAACCTCTCAGATTATCGTATTTGTGGCTAATTGTTAGGAAATATACTTTAAAAAGTTATCTTAATGTTACTATTATTATTCATCAATCGAATTGGAGAGGGTTTCCCCTTAACTATTAATCAGTTTAAAAGTGAAAGAGACCTATAAGGAATACTAATCTAGTTAGAAAATGTTCAGTGAAAGAAATAGTTGACCACATATTTAAAATGAACTATAATATTTGGTTGATAAATAAAAATATAAATATAAAGAATTGTGATTGGGGTATTAAATTTTAATTTGTATTAATTTTTTTTTTTAATTCGCTATGTTGTTATGTATTATAAACAATATTTTTAAATCAGGAAGAGTTGTATAAATTCTAAAAACTTTTTGGAAGCAGTTAAATTTTTTTTTTAAATTTAAAGAATTATTATTTACGAAATTAATAAAAATGTTATTTTTTTAAATTTCTTAGTGTATTCGAAACCAAAGTAATTGGTTAATACTCCATCTCCTTGTGGACACAAGAGTCACGATTATGTTAATATGATATCAGGCCGTTGCTTTTTGAAAACGATTCAGAACTGTTTAAGCAAATCCAAAAAAATATATAACAATTTTAAAAAAGAGCGAATTGTATTTTAAAACGTAGGTTTATTTTTGGGAACTGTTTAGACATTTTTTAGAACTTAAAGATCTAATATTAAAGAAGTGAAGAGAAGAAGTTCTCAGTGTACTCTGACCCAAACTAATTGGTTAATCACCACGCAACTTGTGGACACAAGAGTCACGATTATGGTAATATGATATCGGGGCGGTGCTTTTAGAAAGTTATCGAATGCTCCACATTTCTCCCGATATGTCTATCTCTACTATCTCCACACCCACACATTTCCGCAGAGCCAACTTCTACGGCGATTTCTGGGTCTATTTGGCATGCCAGCGGCGTCGGCCCAGAATACAATTCAAAATGAAAATATTTAATGTTGAGCTGTCAGCGCCTGGATTCATTGTGATTCATGACGACGGGGAATCGGCCCCTTAACATTGATCTTGAATTTAGCCGGCAATTGGGAATGATACTCGTCATAAGGCTGGGCAGTAAGTGACCAGTCGAGCAGTCGAGTTCCTGTTCCGCGAAACCTTCGGGCTGTTACAATGAAAATGAAAACAAAGGCTCATTTGAATTTTCAACTATAATCTTTATTGATAACATTTCTCGTTCGCAGTTTATCGTCTTCAACTCTTATCATATTATGACGTACAGTTTATATGTATATGTTTATGTATATCTATATATATATGCAATAAATATTTGTTGAGTGTGTTTTTTCTTTCTTCTTAGATGTTTTTTCCCCCCGTACTTTCGGTATCTGGGGAGTATGCGTGCTTCTATGCCTGGTGCAGTAGCAATTTTAAGCCGACAATCTACATATCTGACAGTGTGTCTACGTATATATACTTTGACTTTGCCTTAACTTTTTCTGTGGGTGCGCAAACTTAGGGGAAAACTTGAGAGCAAATAATTTACATATACACATCCATATAGCACCGCGAAATGTACAAACAACTTGTGGAATCATTGGGAACTTAGCGATAATGATAAAAGAACCTTAAACCATACGTAGCAAATAGATAATAACAACTAAAGACTAAGAACTTAAAATATATTTTTGTACAATTTTGCAGGGATCGTTTTCGTTTAGATTATCTCTTCTATAAACATTTTGCTCGTCGTTGTTCTTGTGGGTTAGTACGATTATTTTTTTGTATGTATAATTGTGAATAGAGCTATGCGATTTCAATAACTTTTAAAGTTTCCATAGACATTAAATTCAACCAGCGATTGCGTATAATTTATCCATTGACTTGTATTGCAATTTAATTTCTTTTTTTTAAAAACATTCATCAACATGATCAAATATTTGATTTCAACCGCTTCCCTTTAATTGCCCGGCTAATTGACCTACATTTAAATAATTATGTGTACGTTTGTGTATATTATAGCATTATGCTCGTTTAAATATGTATAGCTTTAAATTAATATATGCATGTCGTAATTCAGCGTTGCCATTTATATGTATGTTCTCGTTTAAATACAATTGAATTATATTTCCTCAGTTGTGTATTCATATTAGTCCATTATTAATAATTGCGATAGGTACGTTTTGGGAAAAGTTGCGAAGGTTCGAAGTGCTCTGAGTGCGCCGTGCTGTGTTCTGCCAGATTTCTATTTTCCGTCCTATAGGATTGATGGTATCGGGTTCGGACTAGAGTCCCTAACTAACGATTTGATGCCACTGCTGTTGATATTCTGCTGACTGATCTTAAAAACTTGTTCATATCAAATGCATTAATATTGGCTCCAAAAGTGGTTCAATTAATGTAACTGCTTTTTGGTTGGTTGGTTTTGTTCATTGTTTGTTCCTTTTTTGTAGAGAAAATGCGCTACTCTCGAAAAGTCCGTTACAAAAGTCTTTAAAGTTATTGTATTAG